GGCGACATGTTTCCACCATTCGCACGTGTCGGGAGTCGGTTTCTTAGCCATGAATGATGACGTAGTGCTTCCGACCATAGGAACCGAGGAGCCTTGGCAGCATCAAACATCATAGCCCGCATACCGTCAAACAAAGTCCTGTGTCGCCTCTCCACCTTTCCATTTGAAGTCGATTCGTCTGGTTCCGTTAGTTGCTGTCGGATACCGCGTTGTGCACACCACGACCTTATCTTGTTCGTGTCAAATTCATTGTCGCTCCGAATGACCTTCACTCGCACGTCATATTGTCGTTCGAATCTTGTAATGAATTCAGTCAGCAACGAAAACCAGTCGGACTTAACACGCATTGGAAAGACTTCTCCATAGCTAGATGCATAGTCAACGACATGCAAAGAGTGAGTGCAGCCTCTGTAATCGTGAGGCTTGACGTTTGTCTTAATGTCAACTCCAATTACGGCGCCAATCTCGTCCGTTGGTGCTGATTCGGATGTGTCTGTTTGGGCTTTAGCACCTCTTGTTTGTTTCCCCCTCGCGACATGCAGCACAGTCACTTTTCTTCTTGTCAGTGATGTGTAAACCATCAGCCAATTCATGATTCTCGATCATCGCCACATCCTCAACGTTGACATGGCCGAGTCGAGCATGCCATTCCATGATGCTGTCATCAGGTTTCGCTGCGACACTCGCAATAGCTGATTCGACTGCGTGCCCATTGAGGTAGCAAAGCCCATTGTCCCACGTCGCACAGCCAGCAATAACTTTGACTCCCGTGTCGTCAAGCTTCCACAGTGACGCTCCTTGGTCGGTAAATGAGGTATGAATACCTTTCTTCGCAAGTTGACCAATCGATAGCAGGTTTTTGCGCAGCCCTGGAATTACGTGCACGTCTTGCAACAGAATCTTGCTTTGATTTCCGTTGACATTGATCTCCATCACGATGTTGCCACACGTGGAAGACCTGATGGTGCGACCATCTGCGATAGTCACGGACAGATTGCATGCGTACTCGTTTTTCAACGCAAATCCAGTACCGCATATGTGGTGACTAGCGCCTGAGTCCAGCAACCATTCACGTTCATCCCTGCTGGATCTGAATGCCGCCCAGCATGATGCGTACTGACAGTCATTATCTTCTGTCTTATGGATCTCGCGAGTTGTCTCCACAACATTAGCTGAGCCTGTTGACCTTTTCTTCTTTTCCAGAAACTCCTTCTTGAGTGGGCATGTTGAAGCAATATGACCCTCATCCTCACAGAAGAAACAGGCTCGCTTAGGATACTTCTTGGCTCCTCCTGCACTGTACGCATCACCAGATTCATGTCTTGACATCCGCTGTTTCTTCTCAAACTTCGGCTTGTCTCTTTCAGCACGCTCGTACAAATTCGTCGCCCCTTTTGGCTTACAGACGAAATTCTTTCCGTTTCCTGTGATGGAGGTCAGATATCGTACAGCTTTCTCGAGCTCGATCCCGTACTCCAAGCTGTCTTGATCAATCTTCGCCAGCAAGCTTCTCTCCTCTGATGGACAAGAGTATGAGCAGAAGTATTCAAGGATAATCTTGCTTGGATTTCCATCCATACGGCTCGCCACAGCTCTCATGTACTCAATATGAGATGTCCACGTTGTGTTGGTTCTCTTGGGCGCTTCAAGTAGCTTTCCTAGTTGAGACTGACTCAGCTTACAGCAAAATCGGTTCTTCATGGACCTGCAGACACTGTCGTAGTTGGCGGTAAGTCCTCGATCCGCGAGATACTTGAAATGGCCAAAGGCAGCACCGCGAAAGCACATCGCTATAGCGCTCAGTCGATGCTCTTCATTCCAGACTACGAGATCGAAGGTCTCGAGCGTATGTATTTGCACATCAAATTGGTACTTGAACGAGTCCCAATCTGCTCCAAGTCCTGAGTGTCGTTCTTCTCCGGTGAACTCAATGACCTTGAAGTCCTTCAACTTGGGTGTACCAACTGGACGGTATGCTGTAGACGATGTCGCCGGTGAGGCGGTGTGCATTGTCACATTAGAGTCGGTTTGCCTCGATGCTTGGGCTTGTGCTCTCAACTCGCGAACCTCTTGTTGCAAGGTTGCAATGAGTTGCATCATATCCATATGAGCATATGGAGTCATCGGCGTCTGATTCTCGGATGACGAAGATGGAAGTGGAGGCCCTCCATTTCCATCAGGTGTCCGAAACGATCCCATGTCTTCAAACTGGGTGGTGAGGTTTCTCGTTGGTGAGAAGATGTCATCCCCTTCATGTTCCCCGCTTGGGCTCATAACCTTTTCTCTGTTTACAACGCGTCCGCACTCTAGCTTTGTGCGCGCCGGAGTTCTTGAACTCAGCAGCCGACTCTTCGCTGCTGGATGTAGTAGTACTTGCGTACTGTGAGGATAATTGTGAACTGAGAAATATATTGACGTATTAACCACTACCACTGACATGCATTGTTTCCTCTCTAATGATCTTGCGTCTTCCCATGGACCTGGCATCATCATCGGCTACTACAACAATATATGTGGTTAACATTTACCTGGCGTGATCATAAACCACGTAAAGAGTTATGCGACAGCAACGGTCGATCTGCAACATCGATGCAGAATGGCACGTGGTAATTAGCCACGTGAAACGGATGCATCGAGGTAAAGAAGATCTATTTGAGTACATCGGGTGATGCCTGTGATTTGGAGGCTACCGCTAAAACGGCATTAAAAGATAAAGTGTAATGGGTTGTCGAATCGATACCGCTTATAAGGTACTTGCCTGTCTGATGAGTCAGAAGGTTCGCCTAGTAAAAAAGATGTTTGCACTCGAGAGAGTGCAACGATGGTGAGACGCACGATGACCTAGTCCATTATGGAAGCTGCCGTGACGTCGACCTTCTTCGCCATGATTGCATAGAAAATATCACTATCTCGACGTCTTCAGCAGATGTGGTGGTGTCAGAGAAAACCAGGTCAGACGGGTATCGCTGACCTGGCTGCTGACCTTGATTTCTCACAACGTTACTTTTCTGCCAATCCGACCATTCCGCGATGGATGATTGCACGGAAACGATCACTACTTCTCGAGTCGGTAGGATTTGTCCGGTGTATCGTTGTCTGGTTGCTACGCGCTTTATTGCAGACGGAAACAGTTCTCAGCAGCGATGTCAATTTGATGCCAGCGAAAATGTCTTAGTTCTTGCTAGTTGCGTAATGCACAATTATTATGTTTTGTACTCTTCATCGGCGAGTAAATCGTACTTGATGTTTTTTCCAATTATTGCTAAATTGTTCAGCATTCGTAGCTTTCGCAATGACGATAAGTCAATACGCGATGAGTGAACGCCAATTACTTTAAGCTCGAATACGTCTCCTCCAAGTATTGATAAACCACAATATGGAAAGGATATGCGGATGACGTATGCCTTCCATGTAGATGTCATCGCAAATAGAAGAAGCTCTCGCGAGTTTTGTTTGAGCTGTCCTCCCATAAACATCAACGGAATATTATCTTCCAAGTGTTGTAATTTTCGACGGTAACACTCAACAATGTAAATAGTGGAGAATAGTATCAATTGAGATGATCGGTTCTCATTGACCCATTCTTGGTGGCAATGACATGAAACGAACGGCCCATCCCGTCACAAAAAGGTTCTTAGTCAAGATCAGCGCAGCACAGAGTCACGCTCACTTGTCGGTTGATCAAGCCACTGGTGAGGTTCTTGGTGGAAGTCAAACCGCGTCTGGCGCGCGTTTCAATATTGAATCCATTCACTATGCTCTCTTTGTTATCAACCTTCGGTATCCCAAGCACCAAGTAGTTTGGCCGTGCCGGAGAACAGATAGTCCTTCATCGTCCGTGGTAGCGACTGCTGCACGCAGGAGACTGACATGCTTGATCTTGGATGCGTGAATCTGCAGCCCACATAGCCTTATATATCGCTGCCCAAGGGTCAATCCCCGCGGTGTCATCTAATTCGACGACTTTAAATAGCGATAGATAGATAGATAGATTTAATAGATAGATAGATAGATAGAGATCATTCGCTGCGGATCGTGAGGTTCTTTTCGATAGGTTCGCCTCTTCGACGCATTCGGGTCTCTATCTCGCATTCCACACACCAAACGCGTCCAACGTGTCGTGTCGTGGCCAGTCATTCCTTCAGCCATTCCTTCATTCCTTCAGCCCTTCATTTAGCCACAGTCGATCCGCCGCCGTCATGTCGTCGCTGCGAAACGCAGTGAAGCGGCGCGAGCACAAGGAGCGCGGCCAACTGCGCGAGCGCCGGAAGCTCGGGCTGCTCGAGAAGCACAAGGACTATGTGCAGCGCGCGCGGGACTACAACCAGAAGCAAAAGCGGCTCACGGCGCTGCGGCTCAAGGCGGCGCTGCGCAATCCGGACGAGTTCAGCCACCGCATGGAGAGCGCCCGGACAGAGAGCGGCGTCCACGTGTCGACGCACAACTACAGGGAGCAGCTGGACACGGAGGCGCTGCGCACGCTCAAGTTGCAGGACTGGGCCTACTTACACATGAAGCGCGCCGTGGACCTGCGCAAAGCGGAGAAGCTCAACTGCGGACTGCACTTTATTGACGCTCCGAAGCGCAACAAGCACACGGTCTTTGTGGACGAGCAAGAGCAGGTGGACACGTTTGACGTCGCGCAGCACTTTGACACGGCGCCAGAGCTGGCGGACAGAGCGTTTAACCGCATTCGCAGGCGCGAGTTAGAGACCGCGGAGCTGCCAGACTTGGCAGGGGACCGGAAGCACAAGTACAAGATGCAGGTGGAGAAGGACGCCACGTATCGGGAACTGAGAGACCGACTGGCTCGTGCCAGAAAGATCGGACACATGAGCGCGAAGTTGGATCTGGAGCGCAAAGTGCAGGCCAAGGGGAAGAAGATGAAGGTGAAGAAAGCGGAGAACGGACTGCCTGCAGTGTATCGGTGGAAGCAACAGCGGCAGAAGTAGACACGGGATGGCGGGTAGGGTGACATGGTATGTGTGTGCACGTTTACCACTTTGCTGCTAATGAGATTTGACCTCGTTCAAGTCGGTGAAGGGAAGTGCGGTGTGGGAGTGGTGGTGCGTGCACGGGACGAGCAGTCGCATGAAACTAAATCGGGGAAGTTGTACAGGCCCAATATGGAGTGTGGTATGGCCTAAGCACAGACAGGAGTGTGACAAGTGAGGACGGTCGGTGCAGCTTCTTGAGCTCGAGCGTGCGTGCAGTGTGCAGCAACCGATCATTTCCACCTAGGCGATGACGTGCGCTGAGCAGGGCTTGCTCAGTGCTTGCCCTGATGCAAGCGTGGCAAGCATGATGCAGCACTTGTGCCTCACCTATGTGACGACTATGCAGTGGAAGGAAATGCTTGATCGATGTCTGTCACCTTCGCTTTCGACGTCTTAAGTCATGCGAGGCAAGTTGACATGGGTAGGTGGTACCCGGAGTACGAGTTACCACGTCGGTCCATGTCCCTCTCTCCTTTTACTCGGTAAATGCAGCTACGAGCACTAGTTGCCATGCATACTCTACCAGTTGATCCTTTGATTTGAACTTCACACGCATGACATTCGTTTGATCTCACTGCTTTGCTTCTGCATTACAGCAGGCTGACCCCTTCCGCGATTAAACGGGACATAAACCCCGAAACTGTGGTGATGCCACTTGCGTTAGTCCCTCGGCACCGTCACGAAGGAGCGCGGATGTGAGGCTATACAGTGGACACTTCTCAAGTCGGAACATTCATCACAACAGACGAAGGTCTGTGGTCCCGTCGGTTAAAAGTGTGTTTCCTTCTTGGCAGCAATCGGCGACTCTGTGCCCAGTGGTCAACAACAGCTTGTAGAGCGATGTGCCCGTACGAATTGAACACTTCACTTCCTTTACTGCGCGTCTTCGGTGTAGACGCCGCAAGAGAACTCAATCAAATCGCTGCCTTGTAACGATTGCCAATCCTCTGCACGCCAGAGGTAGCAGCGAGGAGGTTGTCTCGCGCCGATCCTCACCATTTGTGATGATACTGAGCTCGTGCCCGTGAGTATCTTGTGCGGCTTAATGGGTGCTCAATTTGATCGGTCCATTCACCATAAGACGGTCTCACCTGCCCACGCGCCAGTTGACACGTTACAGCTGCACCACCACAGACATGACCAGAAGCTTTTGATGCATGCATATAGCTGTCAACTCTAGAGTCCAAGTCCATAGCGCCGTTGGAGCTAAGCAGACGGACTGACTGTATGTCGCACACACTCCTCGATTCGGACCAGCACGTCATTGCGATACCGGCGAGCACGAGAGTTTCAATCGACGAACGCTCAGGCAGTGGCAAAAGAACACTACGGGCCAAAGGTCTCACTCACTCAACGAAAGCTCGAGCAGCAGCGAAAGCTGACTTTGTGCAGCATCGATTACCTGTGCACCGAGCCACATGATGACGCCCTTTCTACGTCGATCGTGCAGGGAGCACGGCCGAAATATCACCCGGACGAAAGACAGAACTCGACTGCTCTTCGGCTGCTGCTCGCGATAGCACAGACTGCATGTAGCCACTGCAACTCTTACCTGAGTCGGTCAGCTAGCGAAAGGCACATTCGGTGGCTCTTTGACCGTAAAAAAGGAGTGACACATGACGTGAGTGTTCGCGGTACAGACACATTCCATTCGTACAACGACCACTTGTCGTGTCAATGTCGACACTGTCGCTCCATTCTTTGTCCGCATTGGCGATAGACGCCACTGTCCATTCCACAGTAGTGCCTCGAAGAACCGATCAAGACGTCGTCTTGCATGATGCACCACTTTCACTCGAATGCCTCTTGTCTATCAGACACAGTCGAACTCATCGTGCGCTACAGCGACCGCCACTTTGGTGGTGCAGTGTCAGCAACACAACGGTGACGGGCAGACGCACGAACGACGTCCAAGTGCGCCACCGCAAAAGGTGTACCTCAGCGTGTGGCGTTGTTTCTGCTCTGCGATCGAAGCACGCCATCGCAGCCATATGGAGATTTCCCGACCGTCGTACCTGCCATCTCGCTTCATAGTGGCACCTGCGTACGGTGTCAACCTCTGAGCCATCGAGCCTTGAAACTTGTCTACCTGCATGCTACTGAGCGCCAGTCAAGACCAGGCTACGACGCAGCTGTCCTGCAACTTTGTTGTTTTACATGTACACATGATGACCGCGTCAATGCTCAAGCACGTGCAATGCCACGCACAAACGTCAGACCAGACCAATGCGAGCAACAAGTAGTGAATACGTCCCGAACAAGCGGTTCTTTGTGCGAAGGATTTTGGTTCGAGATGGAGAAAGAGGGTCCTACTCGCTGACAGGACTCGGGACAGTTGGTCCCACGTTTAACAAGATATCGTTCATAAGGAGATAAACGATGACGACAACGTCTTCAAATGCCATTCGACTCGTATGGCGACAGACACAACGAAGCGCTTGTTCGCGGAATGATATGGTATACAATGCGATCTTGAGGCGGCGGTGGCCGCGGCACTATTGCATCAGAGCCACAAAACAACAGGGGCGACCATCTGGTCATACTGATGAGTGCACGAATACCTCGGGCAGCTCGATGTGAATGGGCAGGAAATGGCACCGCGCGCGGTGCGGCGTGACGAACAGTGAGAATGTGCTTTATTTCGGTCATGTGCTACGCTGTGTGCCGTGTTTGCACGCGAGACAAAGAGCCAAAGAGCCAAAGAGCCAAAGGGACGGTCGACCCTATCAGTCAGGTAGCAACTGGGAGCGTTGCACAGACCGCGCCACGATCCATAACAACGTTCTGTCACTTCTGGCGGGAGTCCGTCCACCCGCGTGGACTACATCGAAGGACATGGGACTGATGGATGAGGGGGTCTTGTATTCGCAATGCCACACTAAGGCTACTCAGACGAGGCGTTTCTGCGCTTTCGGTAAGCTATCAACGCCCAGCAGTTAACTAACCACCGGGCATTCGTGAGCCATAGCGAGCACCAGGTGGAGAGGTAGAGACGGGGCGAACGCTTAACCGCTGATCGACCGCTGACGGATCGACAGTTGTGGGCTCGTGGGCGAAGATGGATTTAGGACGGAATTGCGCCGCCGACCCGACGCACTCGTTGACGCGACGCCCCATCTGTTTGTCCGCCACTTCCGTCTCGAAGCCCACTAAGGCACGAGGCGACAAAACCGGACCGGCCGTAGTCCACTCGCGTCTGACGTAGCGCCGGTTTGCCCCCGACTCGACTCGACCCACTCACTCACTCGACAACTCTCCACACGGCCGTCGCCCGCTGTGCGTCCGCTGTGGTCCAAAGGCACTCGCGACACTATGCACAACCGCTTCCCACTGCCCGACGGCTTTTTCCCAGCGATCCACTTGACAAGCGCCGACGTTGAGCGCTACGAGGCGCAGATGGAGGCGATCGTCGACAACGCGCTGGCAGAGTACGAGCTGCACGAGGCCAAGGGGTCGTACCCCGTCTACCGCGCGCCGTGGAGCCTCCTGAACAAAGTGGAGAGCCTCAGTGCGATCAAGAAGGAGACCTTCGAGGACTTGCAGACCAGCGAGGCGCGTATCTTTGGCCGCATGAACGGCAATTACCGCCACTTTATCGACTTTTTCTACGCCGAGACGTCGGCGGAGCTGTTCACGTGGAACCAGTTCATGTTTGGGTACGCGACGGACGCGGCTGTGCTCAAGAACATTTACACGGTGGCGTCTGGGAAACAGTGTCTCTACATGGGCATCAAGTGGACGTGTCTGAACCCGTCGCAGCTCGTGAAAAAGCGCGACAACTGCTACATGGAGTACCTCATCTACACGAAAGATCGACGTGGCCGCGACGTGGGCGTCCGCGTGACGCTTCCACTCGACATTCCCGAGTGCCCCGAGCTGCCGAAGAGGTTCCGGACGAAGCGCATTCGTCTCAACACGGTGTGGATCTCCAGACCCGCTGACCGCAAGTCGAACGTCACCGAGTTCTTCATGATGTCGCAGAACAATTTCAACGGCCTCGCAGTCACCGCCAGCTACTACAAGCGCATGATGAACATCCTCATCAACATGGCGGTCTTCGTCGACTCGCGGCGCATCCTGATGCTCGGAGTCATGGCTCGAAAGTGCTGGGCGAAGTCGAGCTCGCGCAAAAGTTGCAGTGTGTGCTCCCGCAAGTTTGGCGCGACACGCCACCGCCACCACTGTAGGCTGTGCGGAGAACTCATTTGCCGGCGCTGTGCTATCGTTCGTGACGCCGTCAAGGACGAGAAGCCGAACAGTGCGGCGACGTCGAACAGAACGTTTGACATTGTCAAGACGAAGTTCTGCGTTCTGTGTGTGACGAAGATGCGAAGCTGTTGCACCAATACGTTGATCCCTGTGCTGAGTGACAAATTATCGATTGCCGCTTGTGAGGACATGGACTTCGACACCTCTTGCAATTCGGTCGTGACTGAGACTGAGACCGAATCTGAAGGCGGCCGCGCTTCCTTGTTCTCCATGTCGGCAGGAACTGTGAAAGGCCAATCGCTGCAACTATCGCCACATACAGCGGCGACTGTTGACCCGGATGATGGCATGGTATCGTTTGTGTCGAAAGCGGATGTGGATGATGACCAGTCCATGACCGTTCTAGCCGATCACCTAAGGACGACTCACGGATGTATCGCAGAAGAGATCGCGGAGATTATCGACACGATCGATATGTTACCGGTCTCTTCCCTTCACTCCTCCCTACGCCGAAGTGAATCAACTCGGAACCGTGACGCGGATGATGAAGACGGTATAACGGGCTTTAATAATGGCCCCAGTTGGTCTCCTCTCCAGTTCAAGGCCTCCCCTCGATCCATTGGCCAATGTCTTGCAGAACAGGAGGAGCTGCTTCGCCTCATGTTGTCGGCAAGCAGTTTGCGCCACCTGACTGCTGCTGCTAATGCGCAAAATAGTGAGATCCTGAGTAAGAGCGGGTGTAGCATTTCTAGTAGCACGCAGTCGACCGAGTCATGCGTCAGTGCCACACCCTTTGAGTGTTAGTAAAGCATAGCATAGCTGCTTGCGTGTTTGTGAACAAGTAATCCTAAATGTTTTGAGATATCTCTACTATCACGTATGGTCTCACGCTTCTCGGCGATGCAGGATGGGTATACTTTGCAGCACCAGTCGTGGAATAACATAATAACACTTCCGCAAGCTGTCGTCGCGGCCATTGTCGTCACACAATCTGTTGCACGTGGTTCAAGGCCTTAATCCATATATTAATCACAAAAGGTGACGAAAGGCTCCGCTCAGCAGATGGCAGGACCACATCGATTGCTGAGCGTCTGGTGGATCACAAGACTTGTGCTATGAGACCGACCTCCTTACGAATGCTGTTCTTGGATCCAGAGCAAGTCTAGCTGGATTCGCTGAGTCCGAACAATGCCGAGCAACGTGTAACATTGAGAGTCGAAAAGCGAGAAAAAGAGGCTCCATCACTTTTTCAGTGCCGAGCGATCGATGTATCTTCCTCCGCACGCGAGACGACATGATGTGAGTCTTGCGTCCCCGTGAAGGACGCAGCACAAGGTCCAACGCTGTGCAATGCAATTAAGGCGGAGATGAGCCGGTACGACGACGTTTCGTCTGTAATGTTAAAACTGCGCTGGAGTGACTGTGGACGCACCAGCGAGGACCTTAATGTCTACGAAGAAGTCAGGTGATTGCCAGCTTGCTTTTCCAAAAGTAAGTCACTCGCCAGCGATGCACATGTGCTCGGGACAATCCGTTAGAAGCGCTGATGATATGTACAGACTTGCACCGTTGACGCTCTGCCTCACGGACTTTTCTCTGTAAGTTTACTCTTGATCGAAACAAGGCTTTTCCATAAGCCCGCGTGAGCTGACTCGGGCTATCCTTCCGTCCACTCGGCCCATGTGTTACGTGCGTGGCGTTATTGTGTCGTGTTCTACGGTCTGCCTTTTGTCATGAGGCTTTGCTTTCCCAGCCCTACGATCTCAATATTTCAGATCTTGACGACGCCTTTGCCAAGGTTGACCATGGACGGGAAGGGGTGGTACACGACATACGCGCCTTCCGGTTCGATCACACTACCTGGTGTCGGAATTCACGGAGGTCTTGCTCAAGTCAAGGCTTAACTGAACTGTACGGGTTGCGTCATATGGAATCGACAATGGCTCATTAGGGCCACACGTGACGTTTTCGTCACTCGTTGTCCACAAGATGTACGCAATGACCTCGTCGAGACGCACTTACCGAGAACAAGTGGGCACAATGCACGTGATTTCGGGTAAGCTCAACGAGTAACGCGGGTGGCCATGTGCAAAGAGGTCAGGAAACGTAGTGCTACTTATGGCGCCCCAATTTACTGTCCACTGCTGGAACCCCAAGCACGGGGTGGAGACTGCGTCGAGCAAACTTACGCATCGCATTTTGGGCTTCGGAAACTGCGATGCAAAGTCGCCGATATCAGTCAATATCCAGCGATCACTCTGAAGTCCGTCGTCCTTTCTGTTAGTAGCGCTCTTCCGGCTTGAATTCGACCCGTTCGCGCCGTGCGACAAAGCTGCACTTCACACACACAGACCCGTCGTGGAGCCCGTGTGCAGAGGGCCAAAGCTTTAGTCGACCGAACGTCAGACACTGCCGGATTTTCCAAGTCACTCGGATCGGATCGGCACAAATCCTTCGACCGGACGAACGCTACACCGCGAAGAATGTACGCAGTCCTCCTCCTCCCCGACCCCTTTCCCCGCGCCTTTCTCGCAATCTGGCGACAGCGGCTCGTGCTCTGCGAAACACGCGATCGTCCGGATCAATGAAGTGGCGTAGAAACGAGTCGCGACACGGCGCAACCATTGGCGCGAGTGGGACCGCCGCCTGCATCGGATAGACCGACCGCTCGCCTGCCGTGCGAGCCATTTCATCTCTTCTTCGACTCGAAACTGTGTCTCGTCGCGTGTCGTCGCGTCGGCCGTCTCCGCCGGCGCTCGCGACTGCTTCAACGCTTACGAGCGGACAATCGGGTGGGACTCTTTCCACGACGCAGCGCGCCCTCCTCCTCCTCCTCGTCGTCGTCAATACCGTATCGACGCTATGCCCCGCAAGTCGTCTTCCCCCCTGCCACGGACGGTATCCGGTAGCTCCTCGTAAGTCGCCTGATGTTATTACAGGACGAGTCATCTGCTGACGTTTGTAACGGCCGTGTTGTTCCATACATTTTCACGCGTCGCACATGGCGCTCGACGTTGATACTAATCAGTTCATTGGCTTTTGGCGGTGACTTTCCCCTGTTAGGTACCGATCTCGCAAGCTGCGATTTCCGCTGCCCGACAACTACTTCCCACCGCTCCGTCTTTCGCTGTCTGACGTACAGGAGTATAAGACGCAGGTGGAAGCCATCATCACGAAGACGATGGAGTCGTGCAAGGAGCACGAGGCGTGCGTCGCCGGCTTCAACCCAGACGAGGACAAGTGCTGGCAGGACGTTGCGCACGACTCGGACCTGTCCGTCGCCCGTCGAAAGCAGGGAGCGACCACGACCACGCGCACGTTTGGAACAGTGCCGGGTGACTTTCACCGGTTTGTGGACTTTTTCTCATCCAAGACGTCCGAGCAGCTTTTCGCGTGGAACCAGTTCTTCTTTGGCTGTGCAATTGATGCTGTGGTGCTGTGTAACCTAAACGTGGATCATCAAGACGACCAGATGACTCTTGGTATCAAGTGGACGTGCATGCAGCCGTCAATGCTCACTCGCAAGCGTGACGAGTGCTTCCTCGAGTACGTGGGGTTCCGAAAGGACGATCAGGGCCGCGAGATTGCGGTGACTGTTCGTTTGCCCGTGGAGATCCCCGAGTGCCCGCCGCTGCCCGACGAGCTCAAGACAAAACGTGAAAAGGTCACAACGGTCTCAATCGTGCGCGCGTCGGAATCGCGTGCGAACGCTACTCAGATATTTATGCTGAGTCAGTCTGAACACAAGGGACTCACAGCTTCTACAAAGTACTGCAAGAAGTTGCTTAAAGCACTCAAAGATGTCTCGCTCTCCGCTGATGCCAAGTGTATTGCCACTGCGCTCATGAGACCCGGATTTCTGGAGCAGTCGCAAGCCGGAGGCAAGCCTTTCGCGATGGAGGCCACTATTCGTCCTTGGGTGCCGACTTCGTGTGTTCAACGTGGCTGCACGAGTTGCTCTCGGCCTTTTCGAGGTGGGCATAGGCGCCACCACTGTCAGATGTGCGGTGACGATTTCTGCCGCAAGTGCCTTGTTCAACGAGCCAGCGCTCGTCGGCGAGGGAACACTGTTGGCCATGATGCTACGATGACGAGCCAACGGACGTTCCGCGTGGTACAGTCTGCGTTCTGCAAGGTGTGCATCAGTCGCACGTGTGAAGAGGACGCAGAACCTAGTCACGAGCAAATGGAAGCCGATCGTCGTTCCGAAGTATCGTCAATATCGTCTGCAATGCCCCGTCGCTCGTCAATCGAACAACAAACGGCGATTGCTTCACCGAAATCTTCGGTATCGCGCAGCTCCCTGTCCCAGCAGACTGATGCATCGTACAGCATTGCGAATTGGAACGAGGATACGCGCACGTCTTGGTGGTCCGAAGTTGACGCGGACGCGTGCAGCTGGAAGTCGGGGTCAAGCCATTTCAGCAGAATCTCGCGCAACCATAGCGGCATCGCCACTGTGCGTTCATCGGTCAGTTCCGATTACTCGCTGGGCCGCAACTCCATTTTGGCACCGCAATCACTCAACACTCCTCACGAAGTTGACATTGTCCAGCTTGACGACCAGCTCGAAGAGCGTTCCAGTATCTACGAAGTGATCGACACGAAAGACATGATGCGCGGACACCGATCTGAATCGGATCACCTTGCAGACGAGGGCTTCTGCAGCATGTACCCAGACACCAGTCGCGCTCGACAGTCGTCTACCCCCGCGACTCCGAAGACTATGCCGCGGCATCCGAAAAGCACTCGAAACTTCAACACGGCCGACTCAATGCCTTCTTCAAAGTCGCTGGACCAGTGCATTGCCGAGCAGAATGAACTGTTGCTGCAAGTGCTTTCTGCCAGTCGGATATTTAACCCCAGGGTCCAAACTCGCGCCAAAGCGCCATCTGAGACCGAGAGCATACATGAAGGCAGCAACGAAAGCGACGACAACGGCATGTACGAGCTATGACTCCTTTGCCTGGTGTTGACCCGAGGCGCAAGTGTCGTGACGTCGCGACGATGAAAATACAGTACAAACTCGACGCAGAGTATAAACCAAACATTAAACGCAATTACGAAAATCTTAAACACTCATCTTACCTGATGTAGTTTTGTTCATTACTTAGTCCATAGACAGCCAGAAAAATGCATCCATTCAGTTGGCTTCTTCATTCGATCCAAGCGTGCCAAAATGCACTGCACTGCTACCGAGTGATGGAAGTCTAGCTTGTTATCGCATCGATGCGTGGCATAAGTGTATACAAAAGTAGCTTATATACTCGTGCGGTTTTGGGTATCCGATGCCGTACCGCGTAAGATACGCTCACCAGGAGATCATTTAATTCGATTGGCCCAAACCGTTGACGGTGCACTCGTACCGTAGATCTCACATCCTCGAGTGAACGCTGATGCGGCTCTTCACACACACCGAGAGATTATAAATTACTTACTCATTCGCAATACGGTGACGTATGCCAAAGTGCACAAATTCGCTACCGGCTGACGCGTGTTTTTGCACAAAATGATAATGCCAGCAGCTCTCTATGCCGCCCACCGCAGCAGGCGACGACGTTCATGGCAGCGCAAGCCGAGTAAAGAAAGATGCAAAGCCACGACATCAGTTGAGATGAAAAATTTGCATGGTAATGTTTACAAAAATATCAAGTAAAACCCGAAATTTGTTGCGGTAGCTACCGACTACGAGCCTCGCCGGGGATCAACTTGTGCGTGTTCTTTGCCCACCAGACGAGCGGCATACTGGCGCGGATGTCATCGATAACCCCTTCGTGACTTCGGCGGGCGAATTTGCAGCGCTAGCAAGTCTTTGAAGTACGCTAATGTGCTGTTGTGCGGACTCGTTTCTCCTGCAGCTTTTGCCGTTTGCCTCACAAAGGCAGAGCGTCCATCACGACGGGAATTGTCTGTACGTGCACGACCCATACGTGATCTCGCAACTCTCGCCGTCAACACACCGCAGGCGTTGCATGGTGCGGCATATCGTTGACGCGAGTTCGGGCCATGTCAATACGAGATGTTCAAGATCAAATGTATCATATCAATCACTGTGGCGGATGTAATCGTGCGTGTTCGTTGCAAGGCCCCGACACGTCGACGGTGCGCACCAAAGTTGAGCTAATACACCTTTTCCCACGGCCGTAACTTGATCGTTTCCTGTATGGCCTCTGAATGCTATTGCAAGAAAGCAAATTGTGGTTTTGTAGACATGGCCATCCCTGCAGTAGTAGGCATGAAGGCGTGAGAAACGTGCTACCTTGAGTACGAGACTGCTGCTGGGGCAGGCACGAAGACGGACGGGTGAATGCGCCCCATTTTGTAGTCGCTGCTACAGGACAGAATGGCAATGACAACAAATCAGTGCTACATACGCTTTGTTTGTTGTCCACGAACGCGGCACTTGACTTTATTAGACGGACCACCTTTCTGGACCAATTGTTTTGCCGATGTGCTCAGATTCGGCAGCCTAAAGCGCATGTGGACCGTCCTGCATTCAACGTTCTCTCGGCTTGAAGTGAAGCAGACTGCTATGCAAATGCGAAGACTTAGGTGGAGGGTCGGGCACCTTTGCTTGACCGATCGCCATCTACCACACTCGCTACACGTGTATGTAATTAGGCTACCGGCAGCACTCTTCTGCTCGCAGCGTCCAGAGCGTCGATGGAAGACGAGGCAGTTGCATTATTCAATCGATGGCGCGTCTATGCCAGTGCGTGGGTGAGACCTGGTCGTGCTTTGACGATGTTGGCTCCAAGTATCGACGCAATGGTTGCAGACCTTACTATCGTTTCACACTCTGTAGCGGAGTCGTCTGGAGCCCATATAGTCTGAGCCCATTCCTTGATGCAGTTCGAGCGACGTAAGACACTTCCAGTGGCCGAGAGGTCGATCTAAAAACTCACGCGGTCGATTTTGATGACGAAGATAGTGAGATGGACCAACGACCATCGGGTCGCCGGTACGAAGGAAGCGAGTCGATCGAGAGCCGATCTCGACAGGAACGTTGATAGCATGTGGTGAACAGCATCGGACGATGAGAATGCGATCCGGAGTTGCCGGGCGGGAAGCTGCGACGGGGAAGCACGAACATTGGACCTTCCAGTGCATAACACGGTCCATTCTTGCGTTTGTTTCCAAGTGCACTACCAGCTGTGTCCACTCGGTGCGGGTGTTGCGTTGTCGTGGCCATCAAGACGATACGAAAAGTTTCGTGATTGCGCCCATCACGAGTCCGGATACATGGGGAATGGCAAAAGCCCTTACGAGCGGACAGCAGGCCGCAGTAATCGATGCTGCACCGACTGTCTCCGTTACATATAAAGGCTTGAAACGTCTCGAGATTTGCTTCGCTTGCAGACACTGATCGAGACTTTTGCTTCCTCTTGAGTCGTTTTGCAGTCCGCTCTATTAGGAACGGGGCAATGGTGCGAAACGAAGCGATCAGAGCCGGTGGAAACTACGCGACAAGACTGAGTTTGTTGCCCTTGCGCTCGTGCCTCCATCACCGCTCGATCTCGTCGTGTGGGAATGAATGGACACGTTGTGAATGCACACTGAAGTGTGAGCGCAACATGCACCAAAGTCTACCGATGTTAGCGAGTAACACGAGGCGTGAGAGCTTTTATTTCAACAGAGGAGCAATGAACGGCTGGGATAACATTCGTCTTAGATAACTGCAATATACTCGAACGTCTTCCTAACACTACGACTCTCTGTCTGTCTGTCTGTCTGTCAATGCTGTACGTGGTCATCCCGCAGTCTCTGCAGGAGCCATCGTCAAGTGGCGGTTGCTGTCGCTTCTGCGTCGATCAACAGTACCGCTGCCTGTTGTTAGTGAGCGCCTCGCGAGTAGTACCCCGAGGAGTTGGCCGCCATGACTAAGCGCTTGAGCAGCACCTCCTGCTCTTGCAGTCGCTGGTCGATCGACACGTTTGGCCGACCCAATCCGAACAACAGGTTCTCCGTCAATGTCGTCAGCGGCGAGTCGCGTAACGGGGACGACACGACCTGCCGCGTACAGGACACCACCTGAGTCGACTCGCCCACAATCTCAATGACGTCGTCGTCGTCGTCGTCGTCGCTGTCGTCGTCGCTGTCGTCGTCGACTTCCTCCATGAGGGGCATCTCGTCGCTCCGACAGCTCGGAAACCCTTCGCCCGCCTCGTTCCCTGCGCTCGACGAGAAGCTCAACCGACGGACCGGTGTCATGTCCAGCGCTGCAAACGACTCGCGCATCGTCTGCAGGTCGCGTTCCTCCGCCTCCTGTACGACGCGCTCAGCGCCCGCCATCGTCCGGAGGTGGCGGATGTCAAACAGCACAGCGGCCGAAGGCTCTGCGACTTCGACTTCCGCCTCGTCGTCGAGCACCGACGACACGCTCGTCTGCGTCTCGGACAGCACTTCCAAGTCGAGACAACTCGAGAACGTCCGCTTTAGTGCCCCACCGCCTCGATCGGAACTCGCCTCGTCCTCCGAGTCGTCCGTCGCGTCGCTCAGCAGCAGCTGACACGACGTCGACGAGCTCTCGTCCGCGGGCGAGTGCATCGCCAGCAGTGACCGGTTCGTCATGGCAAAGTTGTTGCTGTCGCAGTCCGAGCCCTTGTCCGCCACCCAGCACGCGGACTCGGCGTCGGACACGCCTTCGTCCTGACTGTCGGCGCCCACGAAGTTCAGGACGTCCGACCCGCGGACTTTGCCCATACACGCCTTGCAGAAGACGGTCTTGACGACCTGAAACGTCCGACTGGCCGACGGCGACGGCGCGCTGTCGTCGAACACGGCGGCGTCGCGCAACGTCATGCACCGGCGACAGGCCAACTCGCCGCAGAGCCGACAGTGCTGTCGCCGCCGCGTGGTGGAGAACCGGCGGCTGCACACGACGCAGTGCGCGCGCGCCGACTTGGGCGCCCAACTGCGCCGGTCGAGGATCCCGTGCGCCGAGATGCGCTTCGAGTCGGCAAAGAGCGCCATGGAGCTCAGCGTCGTCATGCGCTTCTTGAACGCGGCGGCGGACGACGCGCTCGCGCCCTTGTGCAGGTCCACTTCGCTCGTCGTGAAGATCTGCGTCGCGTCCGCGTTGTCGCTCGTGGGCCGCACGATCGTGACCGTGTGCGAGTGTACGCGCCGCGTCTTGAGCTTCTCCGGCAGCGGCGGACACTGCGGCAGCAGCAGCGGCAGAGTGATGCGCACGCCCACGTCGCGCCCCTGCAGGTCCCGCGTGTGCACGAGGTACTCGAGGAAGCACATGTCGCGCTTGCGCGAGAGCGTCGACGGCTGGAGACAGACCCACTTCATGCCGAGGTACACATGCGGCCGCTGCGACTCCTTCGTGTGGATGTTGCACAGCACAGCGCCGTCGACGGCGTAGCCGAACATGAACTGGTTCACGGCAAACACCTCCTGCGCCGTCGTGGCGTAGAAAAAGTCGATGAAGCTGCGGTAGTCGCCGTCCACGCGGCCGAAGATGCGGGACGACTCGACGGCCCGCGTCGGGTCCACTTCCCGCACGGCCGTCAGGTGCTCGACGTGGCCCACGACGGTCCAGCGCGACGAGCCGTACTCGGGCCGCGCGCCCATAGCCTCGTGCAGGTTGTACTCGGCCAGCGCGTTCTTCATGATGATCTCCACGCGCTGCTCGTAGGCCGCGACTTCTGCCGGCGAGAGCTGCACGGGCGGAAAGTACCCGTCGGGCAACGGGAACCTCACGCTACTGCTCGTCATGGCCGCAACGACAGCGACAAGAGCGACCACACCACCAGCGACAAGAAGAAGAAGAAGAACGACAAGAAGAGAGGACCGACGAGTCGCACGCGCGCGAATTTCGTTTGACGTGGCGCTACTGCTGCGACTGCTGTTCTGCTGCTGCTGCTGACACTACTCGTTCGTTTTGCAATGTGTCGGATCGGACGCCCTCGTCCTCTGGTAGTGCCGCGTCGATGCGACTCGACACTCGGCGACTGCTGCGCGTGATTGTGGCGGCCGTCCACTGTGTGCAATGCTGCAACTCTTCAAAGCGCGTGTCGCCCCTGCCACGTGCAGTGCCATTGTTTGCGGCTTTCGCCCCGAGTCGCCTCTCTACACGTGGCGTGAGAGAACAGGCAGCCAGTCGGTCGGTCAATCGGTCGGTCAGCCTTCGAGATTTGAGGACATGAGACGCGGATACAAATGACGCAGACAGACGTGCGGTCGCTCGTTGTGGCTCGTGCACACACACGCACACACACCGTCGGCCTTTGGCTCGCGAAACGGTCTTCGAGAAGATCCTCTGGTCGTCCACGTCCGCCATCGCGAGCGAACGGAATCAGTTTGCGGAACAGAATCATTCCTGAATTTGTGTCCGCGTCAGGGACCGATCGCCAGATGCAGACGAAGAGTCGCGACGCGCGACGGGAGACATGCAAACGTGTGGTCTGTACTTGGCACGAAGCGGAAGCACAGCCATTGCGGTGAGGAGGAGGAGACTACAACGTGTATGCACAAGAGAGCTCCTTTCTATCAATCGATCTCTCTACCTGTATCGATCTCTATCTATTTATTAATCAATCGATCGATCTCTCTCGATCTCTCTTGCTACACACACACACACTCATACTCACACACACAACATCGACGCTGAGAAGTTGCGTAACGTCGCTGTCAGATCTCTCGAGTGTGCTCATCCGAGCAACGCGAAACCAGGCGGCGTCGTGGCCACGAAGTCCGCAGCGTGTGTTTGTTTGTTGGATCGGCAGGAAACGCACGGCGCGTCTATTAGAGTGTTACTACTTCGATGATGTGACCGCCGTGTGTCTGTCTGGCTGCTTGGGTAGCAGCAATGCTGTGGGCTCGTCCAACTGGGCAGCTCAGACTGGACACGTGCAGCCGCAGACAGTGCTCGCGCACTCGTCGGTCGATCGACCGTCGGTCGTGTTTGCAACGCAAGTCGCAGTAAAAGAACACGTCCCATCCAAAAGCACGTCCGAGACTCGATGAGCTGTCACGGTAGACTGACGAACTTGGACCGAGCCGAGACGTCAAATATGCCGAACCTCAGAGGCTGTGTGCGTCTTCTGTGCGCTCCGAAGTGGGTTTTCGAAAGGGTGTGCAGGCGCTTGGTGGGTTCATCAACGTGCACCTCTTTGCCTGAATGGATCCGATCGCGAGAGGCCCATCGTCCAAAGCAAAGAGGCGAGTTGAGTCCAGCGCTTGTGAGCGCGAAAGAGGTCACACTCGAAAGCGCTTTTGCCAGAGACGTTCGCGAGTCGGCGAATGGCCGTCGCAGCAATTCCGCCGCTGATACACAAGCAGTCGCCTCGAGCAGTTTTACGAGGCAAAGTGCTTCGTCTTCACCCGGTGGTCGGTAGGAACCCTTCGAGGGAACGCTGGGGCCGCCACGACGAGATGGTGAAGAAGCCGCGGGGGGGGGACCCTCATGCATCAGTGTCGACAATGGGATGCAGCGCCAGTCGACCCCATCATTTAACTCGAGGACTGGAGGCCTGTCGATGGCCGAAGTGGAAATAGTGCGAAGCCTCTTGTCGATCTCAAGAGGAAACGCGTCACCTGTGGTGGTTGTGACTGGCACGAAGACCTCCGATACGCGACAGTGGAGACATGCGACGCGACTCACTCCACAGAAGCCTCGCGCACCGGTTAAAGCGCTACAAAGCGCCCTGTCCAGCGAAGTGTTCCCGGCTCTGGCCTCGCTGGAGCTGTGACTCACGGTATATTACCGCGACTTTTCTGAAGCACATCACTGGAAACTGTCCCCAGCCGAACGCAATGTGCCATCTGACTCTCGATCGAGTCTGCATGTGTGGGTGTAAGTGTGTGGACTCGGGTTGGGCTCGACACACGTCTGAGGGGCTCTCCGAGAGCTCTGCAGCCGTATGCGACGCGATTCACTCAGTTTTCAATTTGCCGTCATGCTGTCATCCACCCGCCGCCGCCGCACACTCTCACGGTACGAACGCTCCGTCCGACGCTACTACGGTCTCCGATAACTAAGTGCTGACTTCTCTCTGCTTGTCATCGACTGTGTCACCCGACTGCGCTACTAGAAACGACGCCAATACGTTCCCACTGCCGGACGACTTTTTCTCGGCCATTCAGCTCACGGACGCGCAGGTCCGAAGCTTCCAGACGCAGGTCGAGGACATTGTTCGAAAGGCCTTAGAGGAGTACGAACAACACCAAGTGCAGCCACTGTACAGTGCGCCGTGGGTGCTGGTCGGCACCGAAGGCCCCTTGACGGCGGTGCGGAAGGAGTCACCGGAGGAGCTCGCGCACAGTGACTTCCGCCTCTACGGCTGCATCCACGGCGACTATCAGCAGTTCATGGAGTACCACTACGCCGAGACGTCGCGAGCGCACTTCGAGTGCGCTCAGTTCATGTTCGGCTACGCGGTGGACGCCGTCGTGCTCAAGAACATCCACACGAGAGACAGTAACCGACCGCACGAGTACATGGGCCTCAAGTGGACGTGTCTGCAGCCGTCTTCGTTTGGCCACAAGCGGGACAACTGCTTCCTCGAGTACCTCACGTACAGAACGGACAAACTCGGCCGCCAAGTGGGCGTCCGCGCGACGCTGCCCGTGGAGCTCCCGGAATGCCCCGACCTGTACCCCTCGCTGAAAATTAAACGCATGAAGGCACAGAGCGTCTGCATCGTCCGCCCCGCCGGCTCCTCGGCCGACGCGACGCAGCTCTTCCTCATGAGCACCAACGACTTTGCTGGGCTGTCCCCCAGCGCCAGGAACTTTAGGAAGTACTTGTGCATTTACAACGACATGCCCCTCATCGCCGACTCGAAGCACATTCTGAAGCACGGGATCGTGAGCAAAGACAAGTGGGTGGCGAACGACGAGCGCAGGGCGTGCACGCGGTGTCAGCTTCCGTTCAACACGGCGACGCGGCGCCGGTCGCACTGCCGACTGTGCGGAGACCTCTTCTGCCGCCACTGCGTGATCCTTCGCAACGTGCCGCGCGACGACAGCAAGTCGCGCGTGTTCCAGCTGACCAAGACGCACTTTTGCATGACGTGTGTGTCACGTGTCCGTCGAGGAAGTCACGACGCTTTGCCCGTGCTGACATCGGAGCGTGGACGTGCGCTTTCGCTCGCGCGCGGCGGCGGCGCCTGTCAGAGCCTCAGCTACGACACAAGGGGCGTCGAAGGGTGCAAAGCCATGAGCACTGGCCACGAGCAGAGCAGCTCGGTCCGGCAGGAGTGGTGGAACGACCTCGAGCCGTACCACGGGTCCGTGTCCGAGTGGTCCGAGACGGACTCCGAGGACGCCAGCAAAGCGTCCTTCAGCCTCTCGGGGCGCTCGAGAGCGGCGAACCCATTGTCCTCGTCCCAGTCGTCCTGGACAACGGCTCGCGGGGACACCAACAACGACAGCGACAACGACAACACTCACGACAATAGCGACAACAACAACATCAACAACAGCGTGGACCGCGACGACAGTTTGTCGTTCATAGCGACGCTGGACGTCATTGACGACGACGTAGCGATCCTCGCTGAGAAGCGAGAGCCGCACGGCAAGTTCAAGCTCCAGAATCAGCTGGTGAAAGCGAAGCACTTTACGACCAGTCGACGACGTCTGCCACGGAAGCAGCTGCTGCTGACTCCGCACATGTCGAGCGGTGGCCTTCGCGAGGTCGCTGAGGGCGAAGACACGACCGACGTGATCCCAATAGTTGAGCTCCGACGCCGGTCACGGGCGGAGAGCGCCGACAACGTGTTACTCGCTCCCTCGGGGCAAAGTGAAGAGCTGGCGCTGGTGAGCCCGAGTGGCTTTGACCGTCGCCTAACCGGTGACGAGCCGACCGCTCGATTCCGCTCGTCCCGCTCCATCAGTCAGTGTCTCGCGGAGCAGGAGGAGCTCCTGCGGCGCATGTTGGATGCCAGTCGAGCCCACTCGAGCTCTGGCGCGGGGGTATTGACGCGACGGCGGAGCAAACCCGCGAAGGTGAACTTGTCGGCGACAATGCCCGCGAGCATGCGCCTGTACGAGTACTGACGCGCCAGCAGCTGGTGCGGACACGCAACACGCGCACTTCTCTCTCTCTCTCTGCCATGTGCGGGCGCAATCAGTCGTGATCCATTTCGCAGCAGACAGGGAATGGTCTTAATCTATTGTAATAGTTGAAGCAGTGCCAGCCACGGAAGCAGGCGCAGCTTTCATGTCTCAGATGACGTTCCAGCGACTTTTACGTCTGTCAAGTCGGTCTGTCAAGTCTCACTTGAAAGGTCGTTCACACTGCCAGCTGTGCTTTCGTTATTTCCCTTCTCGGGCCCATTGAGCCACTCAGCAGCAGATCCGGCGCTCGCCTGGCCACTCGGGTGCTAACTGTTTGAATATCCACTTACGACAAGTCGTGATGATTACTTAGTCCGACGCCTTCCAAAGAGAAGCAGATGGGCGCGAGTCGCGCCACTGGCTGAACATGTCGCGCAGAGCAAGATCGTCACGGTCGGAAAGCAGTGCGGCGACACTTCCGATTTGGGGTTCATGGCGTAATCCCCTCGGCGAGCGCAGCTGGTCCGACGAAAGGGCCTTTGCCTTCATGTCACACGCCGCAACTCGCCACGCGAACTGCCGTTCGAAGTTCGCAAAAAACAAAAAGAGACGCGTCGTGCAGTCACCGGTGCCCTCGTCGCTGCGGTCTGCACCTGCGAACGTGTCAGTCAGTGTCTGCTTTGTCATTTCCTTCGCCCATCTGGGGCAAAAGACAACAGCTGCTGCTGCTACTACTGCTGCTACTGCCACTGCTACTGGACGGCAACGACTCAGACGCGCGATCCACCGACTGTCCGTCTTGTTCCAGCGATCCCCTCGAGGCGCTCGTTCTCGTCGTTCTCGTCGTTCTCGTCGTTCAGACCAACTCGCACTCTCCTCGCGCGCTGCCCTTTTCTCTCCACTTTGCTGCTCGAACGACGCGAAGAAAGGCCGTCGCTCGTCTCTCCCGCGCGCATCGCTCGCTCGCCCGCTCGCTCACGCGTGACTTGGTCCCCCCTCTCGCTCGCTGTGCACTCCCAGATGGCCGACCGCCTCCTCTCCAGCCGCCGCAGTCGTGTCCGCCACTTATTTGCGCGCCGGGACGAAAAGCCGGCGCGCTCTTCGAGCAACTTAAACGTCGACACGGACAACGACGAGCGCGACACAGACGGCGGCGCGCGCGACACTTTGCACGCCCACCCCATGAGCCGCCCCGCCCCCGCCGCCGCCCCGGCGCCCTCGACGGTCGTCCTCGAGGGCCCTCTGAAGAAGCGCCTGGCCAAACGGCCCGTCGTCATGCACGACCGCTACTGCGTCGCCGCCTACGAGACCGCCGCCCGCGACCGCTCGTGCGTCGTCGTGCGCAGCTACAAGAGCCGCCACGCGTACCACGCGCAGCCCGAGAAGCCCTCGAGCGCGCACGAGCTCCAGCGCGTGCGCGACTGGGACGGCAAGACGGGTTTCCACCGCCACGCGCACGCGTTCACGATGGAGACGCGCGAGCGAAAGCTCTTCCAGTGCGTCGCCGCGAGCGCCGCCGACAAGCGCCAGTGGCTCGAGCTCCTACCGGCGCACGCGGCCTATCAGCGCGCGCGCGACCGCCGGCGCAACAGCATGAGCACAGCGGGGCCCGAGTCGCTGGCGGCGCACAAACCCCGGGCGGTGTCGCTGGCGGGGGGCGACTTTTCTGTCCACGACGGTGTAGGCGACCGATCGCAAGGCCGCGACAGTTTGTTCCGCAGTACGGTCTCTGCTGCGTCGTCCGACGAGACGGCGCACGGCCGCCACGAGGCCGAACCGCTGGACTGGGGACTGTGTGGCGAAGGGGAAGAGCGGTCGACGGCCGCGTCCAAGTACGACGTGCAGGAAAGTGACAGCGACGCGGAGGGGCGTTCGGACGTTGTGCTGCTGGAGAATGAGCTGCTGGGGGCACGTGCGGCGCGGCAGCCGCTGGACGCCGACGCGTTTCTGTTTGACGACAGCGGCGCCAGTCGATTCGGAGCGGTGTGTGTGCGTAGCGGCCGCAGAGACAGCGACAGTGACAATGGCACGGACGACGCCGAGTTCGTGGACGAAGAGCTGGCAGCGCGCGCGAGTCAGCAGGAGAAGGAGGAGAAGCGGAAGCGACGGGCGCAGAAGCTCGAATTGAACCGGGACCTGTACGCGGAAATGGCAGCGGCGAGACTCGCGGGGATGCGCCAGGAAGCGCGGCACCCCAAGAAACGCGTCAGTCATCGCCACAGTCGCTTGTCCACGAGCAGTGAGGCGAGTGATGCCGAGATGCTCGATGTGGACCAGTCGATGGGTGGCGCGGCCAATGACGAGGCCGATGTAGAGCTGCTGCACATGCGTCAGCGCTGCAGTAGCCTTCGCAGTCTCGGCAGCGCAAAGAGTCATGTGAAAAGCTTTGTTGGCAGCGAGAACGCAAGCAGTTGCGAGATGAACGGATGCGCGAGTGGGAACGAGGGGGAAGAAGAGTTGGCGAACGAAGTATCGCTACCGGCCGTCGTGAGCACGACACCAGTGACTGATGTGAAGAGTGTTGAAGCTGATGGTGCAGAAGCCGCGATTGCAGAGGCAGAAGAGCTGCGCCAGTTGAAGAGGAAGGACCGCGCAGAACGCCGGGCGAAGAAGCGTATGATGATGAAGCACAAGGAAGAAGAAGAAGAAGAAGAAGAAAAACGCGTGGCGCTAGAAGCAGCCGAGCTCGCACGAGCTCACCGTGAAGAGCAGCGAGCTCGCGAGGAGGCAAAGGCGCTTGAGGAGCACATGAAGCGTGACAAGAAAGAACGCAGGGAGAGGAAGGAGAAACGAAAGCACGAGAATGGCAAGAAGTACCAGGCCGAGGCTGAGCGTCGGAAGGTAGCAGAACAAAAGCGTGCGGAAGAGGAACGGCTTGAGCGTGAACGCAAGGCGAAGAAGGAGAAGAAGAAGTTGAAAAAGAAGGAAAAGTACACTTCGCCCTCGGAACGCATTCATCGAAAGGGTGAGCGAAGTGTCGAGCGTACCGAAGAGTCTGCTCCTGCTACACAGCACGCTGAAGCTGAGGTTACGAACGCTTTGGTAGCTGTGGAAGACGAGGCAAAGACGAAAGCGCGCCAGCAGCTGCTTGCGGCTACGGAGCCCGCGTTGACACCTTCAACTCCGTCGCCTGTGCAGACAGAGGTTGTTTCGCTGCGGCAAGTTCTGCCCGCACCTGCAGTGTTGCCCGCTTCTGCTTTATCTCCTGCTGGTGGAAAGGATTCTGTTAGCGCTCCTACGGTTACCGGTGAAGGTGCGGCCGCTGCAGCGGGGTCAGTGGCGATGCCCACGTATCACATGTCGCCACCTCCGTTCGTGCCATCGTACCTCCATGGTCCACAGAGCATGCCCGCGTACGGTTTGGCAGCCACGTTTGGTGCCTATCCTCCGTTTTACGCGGCTCCGTATAGCTACGGAAGACCGGTGGGGCTGCAGCCTGCGTTGATGCGTCCGAACATGGGATTTGTGGCCGGACTGAGTGCAATGAATTCGTTTGGCACAGCTGCTGGTCCGATGCCAGGACCATCTTTCCAGGATCCGCCTGAGCGCATGATCGGTCCGCAGCTGCCCACGTCGGAAGGGTGCTCCGCGGCAGCCTCATCAGCAGGCGCGTGTACACCTGCTCTTTTGGTCTCGTCCATTGGGAAGTCATCCGGTCCTAAGCTGATCAACCTGCCAGAGCTGCCGGATGTGGTGGAGTTTTAGGAAGATGACGCGCGAGGCGCTCCTGTTGAGAGCACGATCCTAACTTAATGTGCAATCATTGTTGCCCCAAGCAACGGAGTTGATGGTGGTCGCTCGTCATTACTCTGTATACTGTCGACACCCACGAGGTCGACAGCATCGCGCGTTGCCACCTGCCTGCCTGTTGCTATATCTACGGAGCGGTCGACACCGGATATTGCTGGCTGTCCATGTGAAAGTGTTGGTCCGTCAGGGATATTGTAGTAGAGATATGCAGTGCGATTGATTGATTTCCTCCACTTCGACTCGATCAACTGATTTCACCGTGCGGTGACTCGCTGAGTTTAGTCACGCCATTTTCAGCGTCGGTTGATCGCAACCATTAAAACATTTTCTGGCTCGTCGTGTTCAACACTTACTGGTGCGTGGTGTAGAACCTGCTGCATTGAATAAAGCGTACTTGGACAATGCGTCGTACATGTGTAGGACGTATTCTGCCGTGAAGCATGTGCCTGAAGTTGTCTGGACCTGTGCGTCACGAAAAGTAAAGTCAAGGTGATGTTCAAACATATGTTGTGATCTGTCCAGTTCATGCAGCTCGAGGAAACACGTTATGCAGTTACTCTTAGCCAGCTACGAAAAAGACACGAGAGTCATTGCCACGTCGCACGAATCCGTTGTCGTGTTTCTCCGCTGACGAATCGTTGCCACCTAATATCCATGTAAAACTCCACTCACGCTTCGCCACCAACGTATCGCTCTCTTCCGTCATCATCAGCTCAGCTTCCTCCCTGCCACACGTCGTTCACCGGCACTCCTACGTAGCTGCACGGACGTCGAGAAGCTCAACCCCAAAGCGCTTGGCGTGTCAGACATAAATGCCCTGCCAGCATTCGCGAAGCCCTTTTCCAGCTTCGAGCTCCCCGCAACGTGTGCACTACGCCGCTGAAGACTTCATTGGTCGCCAGCTTTTATCAGCCTCTCGTGTAGAGGCTGTGTGGGAGATTTGTCGCCTGCACTCGTCTGCGCGACCGGTTGCTTATGTGCGAGTTTGTCCATGATGTTGCGGACTGCCGACCTCACTTTACGCAACACATTGTTGCCGACTTTCTTCCCACGCGTCTTAGCATACTCACTGACATAAAAAACCACTATGCGCACCAATTCCTCTTCGGAAACTTCCGGACCTACCATTCTCGTGAGAGCAACGACGACCGCCGCAGGCCTATGACCTTTCGCTAGAAACGACTTTAAATATTCTTTCGGGGCATGAACGCGCAGTTTCTCTGCCTGGAAAATCCGACGAAGTATAATTCTTGCGCGTGGCATTGGATCGCGTGCGTTGGCGCCAAACAGTCCTACCACAGCTGCATTTGTTTGAGGATGCGAGTTCATGTAGCTCTTCACGGCTTCTACGTTCAGTTTGTCGACTTGACCGTTAGGTTTCATTAGGCCGCGCGGCCCCACTTTGTCAGGAAAAAGGCTCATGAACTTCTTTGCAGCCTCACGAGCAGCGACGAGGTTCGTTGCTTCGTCAGCATCAAAGACGATGATTCTACCGCTTCTCAGCCTCATCCGCTCTTCCCCACTCGCAAAGTCGCGCGCCTGACTCACAGTAGTGCCATCGCGGCCATCGACAGCTGAGCGTTCAGTGGTCGGGGGACTGGACTCACTCATATCGACGTCAGAGGAATGGGCGGCGCATGGGAGTGCAGCAACCGCTGCCGCCGCCACAGCCAGAAGAACGATGCAGCGCAAGCGCATATTGGGCACTGTCGCTGTCGATGCGTGGGCAAGAGGGCAAATTCGGAAGTGACGAGACATTTGTGTGGCAAAACCGCCCAGTGACTTTTCTCAAGAGATTTCAATATGGATGGTGCAGACGTCTCCTACAGTGGTGGATCAGGTTGTCTATTTTATGGTTATGTTAACGATGTGCAAGAAGACCTCTGGTATATCTTAAGCCATGCCATGAGTGCCGGTGGGCGACCCGGGGGCTGACCGTGAATGGGGCCAGTAACGACTGACACGCCTGTAGGTTAGCGCTCCAGCAACTCAATGCATGCATAAAGCATGGCACCCGCTGGCGCGGTCGCTACTGTGCGATGCTCTAGCTTCGCGATCGCATGCAGGTGGCAGAAATGTAACGGGGCAGCCCGTTACATGAAATTGTCACTTTAAGGAAAGTGACAATAAAGAATATAAAGATGGATATTCTTTACAACAATATCACCAAAGTGGTGATATTAAAGGGTCGACCAAAGGGTCTGTTCATTGGTTGATATCGTGATGATATCAACCCACCAATCGCCGCAAGACGCGCGCAATGAGTGGTGACGAGACGTCACCATACATGCAGTTATATTAGTATAATTGAATTAAGTCAAACGAAGAGACAGTAGTTTAAAGACTTAATTTATTAATATAACAGTTCTACTTTTACCCTACCTACGCTTCCTCGCTTGCCACGTGTACGTCTGTCGGGGCACTCAAAACCCTTGCGTTAAGTTACGCAAGGGTGTGCCCCGTTACACCTGGTAGCACTTTGTAGTCCTTCCAAGGACCACAGCATCCAACATGAACATGTTGGATGAAGAAGACACCTTTCACGCCACGCGTGAAGGGTTTGCCCACTTGAGCGACATCGAATGGGGTGCGGTAGAACGAATGAGTTCTACCGTAGGCGAACTCGTCGTCAGCGCCATGTTGGAGTTTCTGGACAGAGACCAACAACATGCCGCTATAGCCAGGTTCATTCAAAATGAACTTGTCGCCGAAAGGGAGAAAGTAGCCTTGCTTCACCAGCAAGGCTCTCAACAGGCCGAGCAGCTGAGAGAACTCGGTGCTCAACAGACAGTGCTGTTGAGACAGCAGCAATTCCATGCTGCTGTGGGTGGGACGGCACATGCTCGTCGTCCCGAAGTCATGAAAGTTGACATCTTCAAGTACAGAGGAGTCCCGGAAGACTCCCTGTTACTGTGGTTTGTCGAACTCGACAGAGCCTTAAGGGCTAGTCGCGTCGAAGATGAGCAAATGAAACTCACATTTGCTCAAACACGCTTGGCAGGGCGTGCCAAAACTTGGTCCCTGGGTCTCGAGAGTAGCGACCCACATGTGTTTAGGTCGCTAGATGACTTCAAGTCCCGGCTCAGACAAACGTTTGAGCCGCCAAGGGCTGAGTTCAGGGCTCTTTCAGAGCTCCTGAAACTCAAGCAGGGTAAGCGTGATGTGCACGCTTACGCACAACATATACGACCCCTCTCGAGTAGTATAACTGCCAACCCAGTACATGAACACACGTTGATTACGGTGTTCATGCAAGGGCTCGCAGAAGGGCCCGTCAGGAGCCACCTGTTCCGCCTTGAGCTGAATACGCTTGATGAAGCGATATCAGCCGCGGAACAAGAAGACTTTAGCATGAGACAGGCTCATGCTAGCTCAAACTCTTACCGTCCACCGAGACGACAAGAGATCGGAGGTCCAGAACCAATGGACCTCTGCTATGTTGAGAGCGAGAGACCTCGCTCTACAAACAACAAGCGATTGCAGAGGTGCAATCGCTGTCAGAAGTTAGGGCACTACGCATACGAGTGTAGTGCTCCACGCCCAGTACCAAACAGTACTGAGCGAAATGGACGACCATTCGCCAGAAAGGGCAATGGGAGTGGGTCCAGCGCTGTTGCAAAACCGCAACAGCGGAGCGGACCATCAAAAAATGGTCGGGGTCGGTAGGGGCGGAGCGCCCTACTGATCCAGCAACCTCAAGAGAATTTGCAAATCTCTTGACGAAAGTTGCTCCAGATACACAATCATTGTGTGTCTCTGCACCTGGTGATGACGTTTCGCTCATCACCTTGAAGTTGGAAGCGACAAATGATTTGTCGCTTCGTGCCCTAGTAGACTGTGGGGCGTCGAACAACTTTGTTTGTCGCCAGTCACTAGAGGGTCGTAGGCTCAAGTTCGTTGAGCGCGACATTCCCCTCACAAGGATGACGGTGCGCCTTGCAACAGGCGCATCGATAACCGTTGAGAAACGTGTAGTAGGATATCCACTACACGTTGGAGGGCGAACAGTACGATGATGACTTCATCGTACTAGATCTGGATGACAAATTTGATGTCATCCTGGGATCACCTTGGCTCAGAAAGTACGAGCCAAGAGTGAGCTGGCAGCATCGATCCGTGAAGATGCCTGCCGCTTGTTCATCAGATGGCCATCTGATGAACATCTTGGAGCGTCCACAAGCGTGTGGATGTTCTGCGAGTGAGTGCGATGGCCTCACTTGCGGTACGGTCGTTAGCACGACTGCACAAGATCACAGTGTAGTTGATCACTACACTGTGGAGCAAGCTCCCGGCGGCTGTACAGAAGTACAGGCTGCGCCGAAGGTCCACCACTCGAATAAGTCGAATGGACCGGGACATGGATGCATGCCTAGCGGGCAGCATCTTAGAAGAAAGAAGTCTGTTGCCCCCAAGGGGCAACATGAAAATCCTAGGTCGACTGGAGAGTCGACCGTAGAGGATCGGTTCCTGACTGTGGTTGCACAGCCACAGTCGGAAGACGTCGAGGGAATAAGTCCCCACGTACTTGAGGAAGGAATTCCTCAAGAGTCGCTTGCTGAGGGATTAGGCCCTCAGCAACCTGTGGAAGCAAGTTCCCAGGAAGAAACCGAGACGTTGAACGTCTTGGTTAATGACGAATCAAGCGTAGGCGCTTATACGCTTGATCTGATTGTGCCTCCGAAGTTGACTTCGGAGATAACTCAGTTGCCAACGCTAGAATCGAAACGGTTCTTGCGTGATCTGCGTAGTGGCAAAGTCAATCAGATCTGCATACTCGTCACAGAGGACGAGTATGTGACCGACATTCGGTCGGCAACAGTATTTGCTGAGAACGAACGGGTTCTCAGCAGCTCATCGATGGACGAAAGTGTCCTCGATGAGAAGACTCGGATCGAGCGATACGCGTCCCAATCCTGGGAGTCACTTCAGGCAAATCCTTTGTATAAGGATTTGATCGAATTCAGGGATGTGTTCCCTGAATCCGTACCTTGCGAGTTGCCTAAGGACAAAGGCACTCGACACGAGATCGAGCTCAAACCGGGCTCGAAATACTGTGTCATGAAGCAGTGGCCACTGCCTCGTGAACAAGTGATAGCGATCGACAAGTTCTTTGCCGATCGCTTAGCAGCGGGCCATGTGAGGGTATCAACATCCCCTCACAGCTCTCCGACCTTCTGTGTGCGAAAGGCCACAGGAGGGTGGCGGATAGTGCACGCATTCAACAAGTTGAATGCTGCAACGGTACCGGCTCAGACGCCGATACCGAGGAAGGACGTAATCATAGATGATATGTCAAAGAGTACCATCTTTTCGTCCATGGATCTGATGGATGGATTCTATCAGATCCTGATGCGTGAACGGGACGTCCCGTTAACGGCAGTGAGTACCCCCAGATGGATGCTGTGGGAGTGGCTAGTGATGCCACAGGGGCTGAGTAATGCCCCTGCAACATTCAACAGATGTGTAACAAATCTGTTGAGACCGGTGCGAGACTTCGCACCGAGTTACTTCGACGATGTGTTCGTCCATAGCCGGGCTATGGACGGAGAGACGGACGTTGAAGTTCACAGAACTCACGTTCGTCAGGTCCTTCAACTTATGCGCAAGCATAAGTTGTACGCCAACCTCAAGAAGTGTATATTCGCGGCTAGCGAAATACCACTTCTTGGGTGCATCGTGGGTAAACACGGCGTACGCCCTGATCCCGAAAAGATCAAGGCGATCACCGACTGGCCAGTGCCAGTCGATGTCAAGGGACTAAGGAAGTTCCTTGGTCTTGCGGCGTACTTGCACAAGTACTCGCGCAACTACGCCGAGATGACTGTTCATCTTTCTTGCTTGCTCAAGAAAAATGTCAAGTGGTCATGGAACGCTGAGTGCCAGCGTTCCTTTGAAGGTATCAAGCGGAGCTTATGCAATCGCCGATCTTGGCGATTGCAGATCAGGACAGACCATTTCATGTGGTCTGTGACGCCAGCGATTTCGCAATCGGCTGTGCGTTAATGCAGTTCGATGCAGATGGCGCGGAGCGCGTCATCTGTTATCAGTCGCGTCAGCTGCAAGCAGCTGAGCGTAATTACCCAGTGCATGACAAGGAACTCCTTGCCATGAAATACGCACTGGCTAAGTTTCGCGTCTATCTCTTGGGAGATAGACCGTTTGTTGTCTACATGGACCATGCGTCATTACGCACGGCCGTAAACAGCCCACACATCTCGCAAAGAATGGCGAGGTGGCTGTCTTTCTTCGCGGAGTATAACTTCTCCGTGGAGTATAAACCGGGACGACTCAATGTCGTCGCGGATGCTCTTTTGCGCCGGCCCGATTTCGAGCCGGACGCACAATCCAACAGTGAGGATAAGCCCACTGTTGCGACACTGTCAGTCAGTGTCCCGTCGTCAAGTTTACTTGACGACGTACGAAAGGCATACGCGGAAGATGAGGATCTTCTGCGATTGATGGATCATCTGGTGAATCCATCCAGTAAATCCATTGAGGGATTTACCGGCTATTGCACCGATCCTCATCGGATCGGTATAGTACACGCAACGGATTGCTGTACTATACAGCTGTTGCCGACGACACGCCTCGTGTCGTCGTACCCGCTAATC